TGTTGAGTGAAGCTGCTGCTGCTGCTGCTGATGATGATGCTGTTGCGGCTGGTAATGATGATGATGACGATGATGATGATGGTGATGAGAAGGAGGAGGAATAGGATGATGATGATGCTTTTGCTTGTGATGATGATGACAATGATGGTGAAGATGATGACGATGACGATGATGGGATTGATGCTGACGATGGTGTTGATGGTGATGGTGAAGGTGATGACGATTATGATAATGATGAGGATAAAAAGTAAGAGGAAGATGATGATGATGATGATGACGATGAAGATGATGACGATTATGATGATGACGACATGCACAGCGGCAATCAAATATGCAGATGAGGAATATTGACCCGACACGCAGACACGGACATACAAACTTTTGTATATTTATACAAAAAAATTCAAAGCATACAAACAAACAACATCAACGAACAAAAATATAATAATTCCGACAAACTAAAAAAGTGCAAAATGGGCTAAAATGAAAAAAAAAACATTCAAACACAAAAACAAAGATCTTGCCAAACAAAGATTTTGTATTAGTAAGCGTTAGATAAATCAATGATCGCGCTATTATAAAATCAAGCCGCATGATAACACCAAAAACCGTAAATATCAAAAAAAACCTGAACATAAACACATAAACAAATAAGTCATAAAGAAACGAAACATAGATAAACTAAACATAAAATAGAAACCATAGATAAAATACAGAGAAACTAAACAGAAACAAAACAACACAAAAAAAAAACCTAAACAGACCAGCCAAAAACGTACATAAACCAAACACAATCATAGCAAAACATACAATTTAAAAAATGCTCATAGAGACAAAAAAAACACATAAGATATAAATAAATACGTTATAAAAATTCACACACAATGCATTAATGCATATAAAACAAAATGACAGTGCCAGCACAAAAATGAAACTTTAATTATAATCTGTAATACAATAAAACTATCCTCCACACTCTCTCTCTCTCTCTCTCTCTCACACACACACACACACACACACGCACACGCACACAAACTATAATTAAAGATACAAGTAAATATACAAACACAAACAAACAAATAAACAAAGTGCAAATACAAACCCGTATTGAAATGGTAAATAATAGCTATAACATTTGATATAGAATATGATCCGTTAGAAAATAATCATTTTGTTTAAAAAAGTTGAGCAGTAATTAAACAAACAGATTGGTATGTACAAACAATTTGATATATGCATATAAACAATTTGATACATACGTATAAACATTTTGATACACACAAACAAACATTTGCAAACGTCTGATACATGCCAATAATTTGATACATACAAACATTTTGATGCATGAAAACATTTAATACATAGCATTTAATACAAATAAATAGATGATACAACTAAATAATTGATGCATACAAGCATTATGAAACATACAAACAAGTTTGACACATACAAAATTGTTTGATACATACAAACAGTTAGATACATACAAACAGCTGATACATACAAACAGTTTGAAACATACAAACATTTGAAACATACAATCATTTGTTACATACAAGCAATTTGATCTATACAAATTGTTAATAATTACGAGAAGTAATTATACGTTGAAACATCATATGGTCGGTTATTTACGCTCTCACATCTATTCAGTCACATGTCGCAATTATACATCTTTGCATTGTGCCTATGGTATTGTATTGTATGTTGTATTGTATGTTGCGTTGTATTGTGTCGTGTTGTGTTGTGTTGTGTTGCATTGTATTGTAGTGTATAGTATTTCATTTAGTATTGTATTGTATTGTATTTTATTCAATATTGATATCGTATTCTTTGAAATTTCACCGACACAACCACAACGAAACCAATAGAATGGGTTGGGAAAATGTTCTGCAACTTAAAGGTTCTCTTGTTGTTGGCAAAAAGAATTCATATTTCAAGGATTTGGTTCAGAGTAACTAATCTTGCCCCAAGAAGTTATGGGCTAAAACTGACAAATTGTTTGGAAATCATCCCGTTACAGGCTGTGATGAACCAAATAATAAACTTTGTTCATCTCAATTTTCATTGTTTTTTGATGAAAAGATTAAAAAATATGCAGCCTTTCTTGCATTTTGGACGCTGAAAGTTTGTTATGTTCGTTCGGTCTTTGTTCTGGTAAAGATGCCAAAAATATTGGCTCTCAGTTCACCCTCTTAGTCATTTATCAATGATGTTATTTTAACGCAAATTCTTAATCATTACATTGATCTTTATATTCCATTTTTGACATTTTTCATCAATTTGTTTTTTTTTTGCTTTGGATGTTTGCCTTAAGTTTTCAAACATACTGTTGTTACTTCTTTGTTGAAAAAGCCGTCTCTTAATAAGGATGACATCAGTAGCCATCAACCGATCTCAAATCTCTTGTGGAAAGAGAGAGAGAGAGAAAGAGAGAGAGAGAGAGAGAAAGAGAGAGAGAGAGAAAGAGAGAGAGAGAGAAAGAGGAGAGAGAGGAATTAAGGTTGTCGGGCCCATTGTTTCCGTGCAGTTCATAAAGCATTTAAATTGCCATAGTATGATTCCAACTTATCAGTCTGGTTTCAGACGGTTCCATTCTACGGAGACTGCTCTGTTGGATGTATCATCTGAACTGTTTGGGTCAATGAATGTGTAGAGTGTTTTTTGGCTTTGTTGGATGTGAGCGAAGCTTTTCGATTGGGTTGATCAGTCTTTACTAATACATAAGCTGAAATATCGTTTTGGTGTCTTTGGTGCGATAGAATCGTGGTTCGAATCTTATTTAATAGGTTGGACGCAGCAAGTGTTTTATAACAATGTTTTGTCAGATGTCGAAGTTGTCGTGTCAGGAGTTTTTCAGGGATCAATTCCAGGACCATTTCTGTTTTCGCTGTTCACAGCCGATGTTTTTCCACTCATTGAGAAATACTTCAAATATCATGCGTCTGCTGGTGATTTGCAGATGCTGTAATATGCTCGACTACTTCGGTTCCCACTTTCGAGGAGCTGGTTAATACATTCGTTTCTTCATACATTAATTCCACCGGGCTATATAAATTCTTCAATAATAATACATACATACATACATACATACATACATACATACATACATACATACATACATACATACATACATACATACATACATACATACATACAGCGTCAGATCAGGCGACAGCAGGGAACTATTTTTCGCAACTAACCACATTTCTTGCTTGTTGCAGCGGTTCCTGCGTGTCTGTGTGCTTGAAAATATCCAACTGAATGCCGACATGTGCAATTAACGACAAATCAAAGTGTTAATCCATTTGTTACTTGATGTTTGACGGTTCAGTGTCACTCATCATGTTTTGGTTTTAACATACATACATACATACATACATACATACATACATACATACATACATACATACATACATACATACATACATACATACATACATACATACATACATACATACATACATACATACATACATACATACATACATACATACATACATACATACATACATACATACATACATACATACATACATACATACATACATACATACATACATACATACATACATACATACATACATACATACATACATACATACATACATACATACATACATACATACATACATACATACATACATACATACATACATACATACATACATACATACATACATACATACATA